TATATGTGATGAGATTATATGTGATGGGATTATATATGCTGAGATTATGTATATATGATTATATATATCTTCATGCATCAATCTTTGGGATTATTTCTCATTATTTCCATAGAAGCTGTAAATATGGAACTACAGGGTCAAAACATATAAAGGTTTATAGGTCTTCAAATATTTTACAAAATTACTTTTCAGTAAAGTTACATCAACTTATGTTCCCACTAATTGTATTTTACATCGTCCATTGGCCAGGCACAGTGTCTCACACCTGCAATCCTAGCACTTAGGGAGGCCAAGATGGTGGATCACTTGAGGTCAGGAGTTCAAGGCCAGCCTGGCCAGGAAGGTGAAACCCTTGTCTCTACTAAAAATAGAAACAATTAGCCGGGCATGATGGTGCCAGTCTGTAGTCCCAATTACTTAGAGGCTGAGACAGGAGAATCGCTTGAACCTGGGAGGTGGAGGTTGCAGTGAACTGAGATGGTGCTATTGCACTCCAGCCTGGGCAACACAGCGAGACTCCATCGCTAAATAAATAAATAGAATTGCCCATTTCTTTGCACTCCTGCCAGCATTAAATATTAGAATATAAATTATATTTTCTAATTTTTAGGTGAAAATATTGTATATTATTTAACATTTTTATTTTTGAAATTACAAGGTAGCCTAAACACTTTAAAATATAATAACACACAGTGACACAGATATACACATAGCTAATTACTAAGCACTTTAATTTTCTCTTTGAAGAGATTTTCCCACAGAATTATTAGGGTTTTCTTATCAATTTGTGTGTACTCCTAAAGATACAATTAACTCTTGGAGTTGTTATGCAGAGGTTTGTAGTTTTCGATTTTTTTTTTTTTTGTCTTTTAGGCTTCTGTTTGCAATAGTTTTCATTATCAGAATTTTTTTAATTTTACGCAATGTAGTAAAATGGTCATTTCCTTCTTGATCATTTCTTTTTTTCCTCACCTTGTGATAAAAAAAAATTTACCTAAATTTTCCCTTAATTTTAAAATTTATTTTTTGTTTTTTTGAGACAGGATCTCTCTGTCCCCAACCTGGAGAGCAGTGGCACGATCGCAGCTCACTGCAGCCTCCACCCCACCCCCAGGCTTAGGTGATCCTCCCACCTCAGCCTTCTGAGCTGCTGGGACTACGCGTGTGCACTACCATACCTGGTTAATTTTTGTATTTTTTTTTGTAGAGACAGACGGGTCTCACTATGTTGCTCAAGCTGGTCTCGAACTCGTGGGCTCAAGCAATCCTCCTGCCTCAGCCTCCCAAAGTGCTGGAATTAGAGGCGTGAGACACCACGCTCGACCCTGAAATTATTTAATATAGCTGGAACATCTTTCAGCATATAATGACATGTAAGGGCTTAACTTGATGATCTTTTCAAATTACTATGTTTGTTTGTTACCTCCACTTACTGACGTCCCATCTCTTTTTCTTATTTTTGATGACCCTTTTATCACCTGTGAAAGTCGACACTACCTTTTCCTGGGTTACATTGTTCCATTCTGATACATTTCATCAGTATAACCCTAGACTAGGTTTCAAGAATAAATAGGTCAATTTCCCATACCGTTCTTTATTTTTCTAATTTTGTTAACTTTTCTCACCTATTATTTGTTCAATTTGTTTAGATACACTTTAAAATACTTTTAGCCTCATAGGGTAGGTGTTAACAGCCTTATTATGCAGATGAGAAACTGAGGCTCAAAAAAAGATAAACAGCTTAAGGTAATAAATCATGTCTTTTACATCTCCCTGTCAGATCCAAACTGCTGGCGTTTTTTTAGTAAAGAAAAGTTACGAACTTTTCTTACTTTCTTTCTCCTTTCCTGTCTGCCTCCCTCTAGTGGTCATGACATATATTACAGTTTCCGAAGTCAATTTTGTACAGTAATATACTTCCTTTATAACATGAAAATAGGTAGCTTATTTTTTTAGCTTACTTTAAAATTTTTAACTTATATAAAGCTCATTAATATTTCTGTAATATTTGGGGGTCATGTATTATCAGAATTTTCTTAGCAAAGACCAGACTCAGAAAACTTTTACGAAGAAGTCAAATGACTTTACAGTGAAATTTTTTAAATTTCATAGGTTTTAAAACTGTAACAATACAAAGACCCTCTAGATATTTCTTTGTTCATTTATTTTCCTGTGGACATTATCTAAGTACTTTCATAAATAATTATCTTTATTCAGTTTTTCTGAGACAGACCCTCCTACCCAGGCTGGAGTACAGTGGCACAATCTCGACTCTGCAACCTCCGCTTCCCAGGTTCAAACAACTCTCCTAGCTCAGCCTCCCAAGCAGTTGAAATTACAGGCATGCGCCACCACGTTCAGCTAATGTTTGCATTTTTAGTAAAGATGGGGTTTCGCCGTGTTGGCCAGGCTGGTCTTGAACTTCTGATCTCAGGTGATCTGCTTGCCTTGGCCTCCCAAAGCGATGGGACTACAGGCGTGAGCCACAGTGCCCGGCCAAATAACCATCTTTAAATTCCCCCTGTAACCATTCCTTCTCGGCTGACCTGGCTTCAGTGTCCTTTCTCACTGTTTGGTTGCCACAAAGGTGCCTAGGCCACAGGTACATCAGGGCAGGAGCTTTGGGGCAGGAGGCCAGCCTGGGGCTAGCTCCCTGGCCAGGCCTGCACCAGCCCACAGGAGGGCCACCTGATAGTAATTCCCACAAAGACTTAGGACGTGCTAGCCGGGGCCAGCCTCCATCCCTAACTGCCTGTCGGTTGAAGCTTTCTCAGTCTGATTTTCTTCCTTCTTTATTTCCTGCTCCTATTTTTCTGCCTTTTTCTTTCTCCCTTTTTCCTTCCTAATCCCATCATTCTTCAATATCTTCCTTCTCGTTTCTTTTTCACCTGTAAGAAAAGATGCCGTAAAAGTTTAACCAAGCAAGAAGGATAATAATAAAAAGAAAAATAATTCTGGGAAGCATTTATCAAATTTTTTTTTTTCCCCTTGATCTGAATTCCTTAAAGGGCCGAGCGCAGTGGTTCATGCCTTTTAACCCGGCACTTTGGGCAGCCCAGATGAGAGGATCGCTTGAGCCCCGAGGTTTGAGACTACTGTGAGAATGAGACACTGTCTCTACAAAAAATAAAATAAAAAATTAGCCAGGCATGGTGGTCCGTGCCTGTAGTCCCAGCTTGGGAGGCTGAGGCAGGAGAATCACTTGAGCCCAGGAGTTGGAGGCTGCAGCGAGCTCCAGTCTTGCCTCTGCACTCTAGCCTGGGCAACAGAACAAGAGCCTGTCTCAAAAAATAAAATAAGTTCCTTAAAGACAGTGTCTGCTGTATTACCTCCCTCCTATAGACAGGTGTTTAATATTACCATTTATTCTGTCACTTCCTGATACATGCATTCATATTTAACCCAACACGGACAAAAATGTAAGAAGGAGGGAAAAAAAACAACATAACCAGAAAGCTTAGGTTCAGTATTCAGCAAGGATTAAGGGCTGTCAGAGTTGACTGCCTCTTGGATTTTGTTCAGGAGAGGATAATAATACTGACCCAATTAAGTAGCACGTTGGGTAGATTAAAGTGCTTTGTAAACATTAATTAAAGATGCAGGGAGTTAGGTGAGGCCAATGTGTTATTAGAGGAAAAGTTTTCTTCCCTTTAATCAGGTATCTCTTTCTGGGGAGGGCAGAGAAATGACCTCAGGAGTAAGGCATTGGGCTCAACCCTGAGTGCTGCGGGTATGCATCCTGTGCAACCACTTTGGTCCTTAGTTTTCTGTAAAATGGGAATCAACACAAACATTCTGGGAATCTAGGTTGTTATAACGTTTGCCATTTGAGTATACAACAGACCCTACAATTCATACAACCCCATAACCCTTGCTTTCTCCCCGCCTACCGAGTTAAACCTGGTACCATCAACTTCCACCAACTTACAAAAGCCTTCCACAACCAGCTATTAACCTTGGGAGACATTTCCATGATGATAGACAGCCTGAAGGAGAAAATGCAACGAGCTGTGGGGTCAAAAATTTTCCCATGACTTTCTTCAGCTGTCTGAACCTCAGCTTTCCTCCTCTGTAAAATGGGGTTAAGAAACCAGAAAAACATTTTAAGGATTAAATGAAATAGTGTATGTGGTATATGCACGTTAAATGCTGTGTGAGGGTACAGGAATGCAATAAATTGCATCCGTATTATTATTATTAGGTATAAAATAGCCTCTCAAAGCTGATGATAATAAAAAAGAAAAAGAAAAGAGAAAATTAAAGACCACGTGCAGTGGCTTAGGCCTGTAATCCTAGCACTTTGGGAGGCTGAGGTGAGAGGATCACTTGACCCCAGGAGTTCGAGACCAGCCTGGGCAATGTAATGAGACCTCCCCCCATCTCTACAAAAAATTTAAAAATTAGCTGTGTGTGGTGGCGTGCACCTGTGACACCAGCTACTCGGGAGACTGAGATGGGAGGATCACTTGAGTTCCGGAAGTGAAGGTTGCAGTGAGCCGAGATCACACCACGTGCACTCCAGCCTGGGCGACAGAGCAAGACCCTGTCTCAGGAAAAATTAAATTAATGTTCCATTTCTTGCAAGCTTCAGTCGCACATCCCTATTGCTTTTCTCCGCGTACGTCGCTCGGGGATGAGGTTGGAGATTTTCACGCTGATATTCCCCAACTCGAACTTCACAGCTTGACGGAGGTTCCCTGGGAGGCGGCCGCGGGGACCCCCCCACCTCCGCCCCAGCGCGGCGGGGCCTGGCCCTTTAAGCGCCGCGGGCGCGAGCAGTGCGTGCCTGAGGAGCACGAGTCCCGGCGGCGGGCGGTGGAGCGCGCGCGGGGTGAGCGCGCGGCGGGACGGCCCGGCACAGACTGCTGGGCTCGCGGGCCGACTGGAGGCGGCGTGAGGGCTCCGGGTCGCGGGCGGCGTGGACACCTGAGTCCCCGGGCAGGGGGCTCCCGCGAGGTGAGCGCGGCCCTAGGACCCCGGGCAGGGCGGGAGCGACGGGAGGGCGTCCTGGCGGCGGTGGCGTCGCTGGAGTCTGGCGGGGACGCCGGCGGGTCGGGCGGTGAGGGGCGCCGGACCCTGCCTTGCTCGCTCTCGGCTCCGACAGGGGGAGCCCGGCGCCGCAGCAGAGGCCGCCCGGTGCCCGACCCCCTCGGGGCGTCGCTGCCTCGCTGGGGACCTCGGGGTCGGGGCGCGGAAGGGAACGCGCTGGGTTCTGAGTCTGGGGCTGTCCTGGGTGCGCAAGGGTGGAGGCGGGTTTCCCAGCCTGGGGCGCAGAGCGTCCCCGCGGTCCCCACCGCCCGTCTCCCAACCGGGACCCCTGTCCCGTGCGCCGCGGGACCCCCGTGCGGCCTCTGGGAGAGGGTGCGGGTCCGACGCGGCGTGCGGAGCCACCTGTTCCCGGGCCCCCACGTCCTGGAATCCCGCGGGGCTGTGCGGGGTCTGCCCAGCCCAGCACGGCGGAAGGGAATAAAATAGAGGAGAAAATGTGGCCCTTGATGAAATTGAACAAAAGACAATAAAATAAAATCCAGTATTTCTCCAAGGCTTTGAAAGTTTCCCAGTATTGTTTTACGGAGTCTAAACTTAAGCATCTAGTTGTTTGGTGTGTTGGTGGTGGTGTTTTCCTTAACCGCAGGGACTAACCTCAGAAAACTTAACTCTACCAGAACCTAGTGGGTGCAGAGCAGAAAACTTACAGTGAGGAAAGGAAAATGAGTGTGTGTGACTTTTTCCACCCTAAACACAGTAAAACATTCAGGTCTGTAGGGAGAAGTTTCTTTCTGGCTCCAGTTTTTTAACGGAGAACATTTTTTTAAAAATCTATGTTTCTGAAAGGTAGCAAAAGGCCAAACCAGATAGATACACCTGGAAACTTGAGGGAAATGCTCTTAGGAGAAAACCTCATTAAAAATACTTTTCTACATTATTAAAAAAAAGAAAAAGCGCTACATAAAAGTGCCCCAGCATGCACTGAAAAGTTTGCCCTGAAAGTTCCGTGTCTGAACGTTACTGATTGTTTTTCTAGGTGGAGGAGGTATTTTCCTTCGGGGAGCCAATATGGAACGCAAACAAATGCCCTATTGACTTGGGATTGGGTGGGAAGGATGGAAGTTGTCTAAAATCTTTCTTGCCAAAGTTGACAGCGTATGTATGGAATCTTGTGTGTTTCCTTGTCCAGACTAGTAATAGCCATTTGAAAGCGACTGGGTTATATTCCTTGGTAACAGCACTTCCCATGAGCTTTCCTTGAGAATTTTAGATGCTGATGATTTAAAAGTAACACATTTTCTCTGTTACTAGAAATCAGAAATGCAAAATTAGAGTGATAGTGGAGCAAAAGCTGGAAAGATGCGCGATGTTTTAGGAAAGTTTGAGCGTGTTTGCATCTGTGGTTGCTGGGGTGGGGGATTTGCCCATGAATCCATTCAGGAATATGTGTAGACTGACCACCTACAGCGTGCAGAGCAGTGACTGCAGTATACAAGCATTTCTAGATAACAGCCATATGAAACTGATTAAAACCAGATCAAGCTAGCCTTCATGGCAGCTGAAGACATACCTGGCCTTGGTTCCAAAGTTCTCAGACATCCAAGGCGCCCAGAGTTGGCACGGTGTGTTGATTCTGAAGATCATCTCAGATAACTACAGGAGTGGAGCCTTGACACCTCAAGTGGGAGAGAGGAAGGGCTTGGGTGGAGCAGAGCTGAGACAGCGGAGCCTCTAGAACTAGCAGTTCAAGTGCATCTTATCTGCAGTGTTGTGGGACCGCTGCCAGTGGCACAGAGGCCATTCAGGAGCTGCCATGGGGATCCTAGGAGCATCCCAGAACCCGAGCTCTTTGCTTTGCCGGTGAAGGGCAGCGTTGCATTTCACCTTCCTTTGCACTTAGTGGCTTCACAGCTGCCTGTGTGCTCTAAGAAGATGGCCTTGCGACTCTGCGACTCTGCCCCGTAGACGGCAGCCATCCCCGCTCCACGCTGAGGGGTTCTCCTGGCCACCGTCAGAAAGCCTCTCTTCACAGAGGCACTGCCCTCTGCACGGGTTGTGTCCAGCCAGTGGCATCACAGCTAACAGTGTCTGTCTGTGGAACCCCAGTGAAGCTGCCCCTCTCCATAATTATTTCCTTTCTAGACTGGCAGCCTTCATCTTGAAACCTGAGAGTATTTTAAGAAAGTTGGTTCTGGGAGCTGGGTGCGGTGGCTCACACCGGTAATCCCAGCACTCTGGGAGGCTGGGGCTGGTGGATCACCTGAGGTCAAGAGTTCAAGACGAGCCTGACCAACATGGTGAAACCCCGTCTCTACTAAAAATACAAAAATTGGCCGGGCATGGTGGCGTGCCTGTAATCCCAGCTACTCAGGAGGCTGAGGCAGGAGAATCGCTTGAACCTGGGAGGCGGAGGTTGCGGTGAGCCGAGATAGCGCCATTGCACTCCAGCCTGGGTAACAAGCGTGAGACTCGGTCTCAAAAAAAAAAAAAGAAAGTTGGTGCTGGGTTTATAATCTGTGCATTCAGGATTGGCGGAGAAGGATTGTAGGGAAGAGCATTTGCCTTGTCCGACAGGGATGGGATAGCTCTTCATGAACGTGGAGACTCTACCACTGTGAAAATGTGATGCTGTTTATCTTTTTTATTATAGTCAAATACATAGAACATAAAATTTATCCCTTTAAAGTGCACAAGTCAGTGGCATGAAGTACATTCCATTTCCAAAGTTATGCAGCCGTCACCACTGTTGAGTTCCAGAACTCTTTTATGTCTCCGAAAGGGAACCCATTAAGCTGACAGTTCCCATTCCCCTCTCCCAGCCCCTGACGACACTGGTCTCCTTCTGTCTCTGTAGGCTTGCCCCTTCTGGATGGTTATACACATGGAATCTTAAAATCTGTGGCCTCTGTGTCTGGCTTCTGTGACTTAGCACAATGTTTTCAAGGTCCGTCCACGTGGCGGCGTGTATCAGTGCTTCACTCCTTTTAACGGCTGAATAATGTTCCATGTGTGGACAGATCGCCTTCTGTTTACCCATTCAGATGAATGACGCTGGGTTGTTTCCCCTTTTGGCTATTCTGAATAGTACTGCTATGAACCGTCGTATACAAGTTTTTGTTTGAACACCTGTTGTCACTTCTTTTGGGTCTGTACCTGAAAGTGGAATTCCAGGTCATAGGGTAATTCTGTGACTCACCTGTTGAGCTGCCAGCTGTTTTATACAGCAGCTGCACCGTTTTGTGTTCCCACTAGCAACGTATCAGGGTTCAGGTTTCTCCGTATCCTTGTCAACCGCTTGGTATTTTCCTTTTTTTTTGGAGACAGGGTGTCACTCTATTGCCCAGGCTGGAGTACAGTGGTGTGACCTCAGCTCATTGCAGCCTCGACCTTCCAGGCTCAAGCGATCCTCCCACCTCAGCCTCCGGCGTAGCTAGGACCACAGGCGCATGCCACCACGTCCAGCTGTTTTTGTGTTTTTTGTAGAGACTGGATTTTGCCGTGTTACCCAGGCTGCTCTCAAACTCCTGGGCTCAAACCATCTGCCCACATCTGGTTTCCGAAGTGCTGGGATTACAGGCGTGAGCCACCCGGCCTGACGTTCCTTAAAAAAAAAAAAAAAAAAAAGATTCTGGTTCTTTTAGTCGGTATGGTGTTGGTGCATTTCCCGATCAACTTACAATGCTGGACGTCTCTTCAGAGGCTTGCTGGCCACATCTTTAGAGAAATGTCTGGGAAGAATTTGATTCTCTTTTGTGTTAGCTTTCATACTGTGAAATTTTGCATGTAAGTAGTTATTTGTATAGGGCTTGGTTTGGATATTTAGGTCCTTCCCAAAGCTTCAGTCTGTTGTGGGTTTTTCCTGCTTTCTCTTTCAGGCTGCTGCTCCTCGGAAGCCAGTTGTCTGATTTGTACTTTGACTGTTTTTTTGTTTGTTGTTTGTTTTGAGAGGGAGTCTCACTCTGTCGCCCAGGCTGGAGTGCAGTGGCACAATCTCAGCTCACTGCAACCTCCACCTCCTGGGTTCAAGTGATTCCCCTGCCTCATCCTCCTAGGTAGCTGGGACTACAGGCGCATGCTGCCACGCCTGGCTAATTTTTTTTTTTCTTTTAATAATGTAGTAGAGACAGGGTTTCACTGTGTTGCCCAGGCTGGTCGTGAACTCCTGAGCTCAGGCAGTCCACCCGCCACAGCCTCCCAAAGTGCTGGGATTCTGGCTTGACATTTTTAATCTTCTGCCTGTTGTAGTTCTTGACCCCAGGCCTGGGGTATCCATCAGTTCATGGCAGTACAGTATTCACAGACTGACCATGTACAGCGTCCCAAGCCCTTGGGCTGGTCACTGGAAGTCCCCATGTTTGTTGTTGTTGTTTTGTTTTGTGTTTGAGACACGGTCTCTCTCTGTCACCCAGACTGGAGTGCAGTGGCACAGTCACAGCTCACTGCAGCCTCAACCTCCCCGGCTCAGATGATCCTCCTACCTCAGCCTCCTGAGTAGCTGGGACTACAGGTGTGTGCCACCATGCCTGGCTAGTTTTTGTATTTTTGGTAGAGGTGAGTCTCGATGTGTTCCACAGGTTGGTCTTGAACTCCTTGCTTCAAGCAGTCCCCCCACCTTACCCCCCAAAAGGCTGGGATTACAGGCATGAGCCACCTTCTCTTTCTGATTACTTTGTGATGTACACGGATTGCGTTTTATTTTTTCAATTAGGCTAATGGGCACATGGGGAAAAGAATGGTACTGCTCTGGAACTTAGGGGATCTGTCAGGTTTCAGCACCCAATAGCTGTGTGGCCTCAGGGTCCGCCCTTCTGGAACTGGGTTTCCTGGTCTGGAAAAAATTTGGGCTAAGACCTTGAAACTGGAGATTGACCAGAGCTTTCCTGTACAGATCTGATTCTGAGGGTATTTCAAACCATTTAGCCTGCACGTACTGCTTAAAGGAATTCTCTGAGTGAAAATATATATATATATGTATTCTCTTTTGTACTAGTCTATAAACAGGTCAGTTGTGTCCATTGCTCCCTCCAAAAATGGTACATTTGGTATTTTCTATAAGTATTCAGAGCATTTCAGTTGGGCACAGTGGTTCACACCCGTAATCCCAGCACTTTAGGAGCCCGAAGCAGGCAGATCACCTGAGGTCAGGAGCTCAAGACCAGCCTGGCTAACATGGTGAAACCTCATCTCTACTAAAAATACAAAAAATTAGCTGGGTGTAGCGGTGGGCGCCTGTAATCCCAGCTACTCAGGAGGCTGAGGCAGGAGAATCACCTGAACCCGGGAGGCGGAGGTTGCAGTGAGCTGAGATCACGCCACTGCACTCCAGCCTGGGCGATAGAGCAAGACTCTGTCTCAAATATAAATAAATAAACATCCGGAGAGTTTAAAGAGTTGTAGTGAAGATTTGAGTTCCTAACACACTGGGAATAGGGAGGCGACCAAGGCAGCGTGGGCCCTGCTCCCATGAAGCTTTGCTGGGGTAAAGGAGACATTCAGTGTCCACTGTGAACTGATAACAGCGACCCTTTGGGAGCACAAGACAGAGAGTCTTTCTGTCAGGGATGGCAGAACATCAGCTGGAGAACGTAACATTTGAGCTGGGCCGGCAAGGGCAGCATAGGGGAAAATTTAGGCCAACAGGGTAGAATTGAGGAGTCAGTGATTAGGCTGAAAGGGGTTAGCCTTCCAGGTAGAGGCATGGACAAGCGAAGATTTTTAAGTAGGATGCAATGGAAGGTCTTGTTTCCCAGCTCTCACATGGAGTAGACATTTATACATGGAGGGATTAACTTGAAGTTGAACAGGATGTTAGGGACTGAGGAAGGGGGCATAGAAATATGAAGATAGGGCCGGGCACGGTGGCTCACGTCTGTAATCCCAGCACTTTGGGAGGCTGAGGCAGGCAGGCCACCTGAGGTGAGGGGTTCAAGACTAGCCTGGCCAACATGGCCAAACCCTGTCTCTACTAAAATACAAAAATGAGCTGAGCACAGTGATGTGTGCCTGTAATCCCAGCTGCTCCAGAGGCTGAGCAGGAGAATCACTTGAACCCAGAGGCGGAGGTTGTGGCGAGTGGAGATCGCACCACTACACTCCAGCATGAGTGACCGAGCACAACTCCATCTCAAAACAAACAGAAAAGAAATATAAAGATATAAGATGGCATGAACAAGGGGAAGACACCTGGGAATGCCAATTGTCAAATCAAATTTTAGGTACCAAAAAAAAAAAAAAGGTTTTTTTAAAAGTATTACGTAGCTGGGTGTGGTGATTTCATGCCTGTAATCCCAGCACTTTGGGAGGCCGAGGTGGGAGGATTGCTTGAACCCAGGTGTTTGAGACCAGCCTGGGCAACATAGGGAGACTCCTGATCTACAAAAAATTTGAAAATTAGCCAGGTGTGGTAGTGTGCACCTGTAAACCCATCTACTCAGGAGGCTGAGGCAGGAGGATGGCCTGAGCCCAGGTTGAGTCTGCAGTGAGGTGAGATCGTGCCACCGCACTCCAGCCTGGGTGACAGAGTAAGACTCTGTCTCAAAAAGAAAATACTCAAAGTAGAGAGCTAAACCAGCTCTGTCGGACTTGTCAAGCTGACTTAGAGGCATTGTACCTTGGTTTCTTCATATTCCAAGACACATTGCTCCCCGTCTACACCAGGTAACCAATGAATTTGCTGCGTGAGCTCTGCTAATGCCAGCAGTGTGGCTTTAAGAATGAGATGGCACTGAAATGTACATGAGGTGAGTCTGCTGTGTTAATTTTCTTTTTTCTTCTTGACCCTTGATTTTTATTTATTTATTTATTTTTTTTTTTTTTTTGAGACAGTCTTGCCCTGTCAGTTAGGCTGGAGTGCAGTGGCATGATCTTGGCTCACTGTAGCCTCCACCTCCTGGGCTCATGTGATTCTCCCACCTTAGCTTCCAGAGTATCCGGAACTATAGGCATGTGCCCCCATGCCTGGCTAATGTTTGCATTTTTTAGTAGAGATGGGTTTTTGCCATGTTGGCCAGGCTGGTCTCCAGCTCCTGAGCTCAAGAGATTCACCTGCCTCGGCCTCCCAAGTGCTGGGAGTGTAGGCGTGAGCACTGTGCCAGCCGCCATAGGCAGTTTTTCAGCCCTCATCTCCCCCCTCCATGACCCTCCCACCTTTTGGAGTCTCCCGTGTCCATTAGTCCACTCTGCACTGACATGGTCCCATCGCTGAGTTCCCACTGTGAGGACATGTGGTGTTTGACTTTCACTTAGGATGATGCCTTCCGTTCCATTGATGTTGCTGCACAAGGCATGATTTCTTTCATTTTTATGGCTGAGTAGTCGTCTGTAGCGTTTATATACCACATTTTCTTTTCTTTTCTTTTTGTTTTTTTGAGACAGAGTCTCACACTCTGTTTCCCAGGCTGGAGTGCAGTGGCGCAATCTCAGATCACTGCAATCTCTGCCTCCCAGGTTCAAGTGATTCTCCTGCCTCAGCCTCCTGAGTAGCTGGAACTACAAGCATGTGCCACCACACCCGACTAATTTTTGTATTTTTAGTAGAGATGGGGTTTCACCATGTTGGCCAGGCTGGTTTTGAGCTCCTGACCCTGTGATCTGCCTGCCCTGGCCTCCGAAAGTCCTGGTATTACAGGCATGAGCCGCCACTGCGCCCAGCATTCTTTTTTTTGAATGGCATTTCACTCTTTTTGCCCAGGGAGTACGATGGCGCAATCTCGGCGTGTTAGAATCTCCACCTCCTGGGTTCAAGTGATTCTCTTGCCTCAGCCTCCCAAGTAGCTGGGATTACAGGCTCAAACCACCACACTCAGCTAATTTTGTATTTTGCGTAGAGACTGGGCTTCTTCCTGTGGGCCAGGCTGGTCTGGACCTCCTGACCTCAGGTGATCTGCCCGCCTCAGCCTCCCCAAGTGCTGGGATGACAGGTGTGAGCCACCGTGCCTGGCCACCACATTTTCTTTATCTGTCAGTGGGCACTTAGGTTGATTCTGTGACTTGGTTACCGTGAGCATTGCTGCAGGGAAGGTGCAGTGCAGGTGTCTTTTTGATGTAATGATTTATCTCACTGTGGGTAGACACCCAATAGTGAGATTGCTGTGCCCAGTGGTAGTTCTGGGTTCAGTCTCCTGAGAAATCGCTATTCTGTTTTCCATAGCAGACTCTCCCCTTGAGCTATGTAAAGGTGTCCTGGTTTCTCTGTGAGAGGTTGATAGGCAGACCTTGGACTTCTGAAAATAGTAACATGGGAACTGTTAGTTGGACTCATCCAGATTTTTCTGCAAACATTTGGTGGTCCTCATTTCTTAAAAATGTATTAAGGCCAGGCGCAGTGGCTCATGCCTGTAATCCCAGCACTTTGGGAGGCCAAGGCGGGAGGATCACAAGGTCAGGAGTTCGAGACCAGCCTGACCAACATGGTGAAACCCCATCTCTAAGAACAATACAAAAATAAGCCAGGCGTGGGTGCACACCTGTAGTCCCAGCTACTCAGGAGGCTGAGGCAGGAGAATTGCCTGAACCCAGGAGGCGGAGGTTGCAGTGAGCCAAGATCATGCCATTACACTCCAGCCTGGGTGACAGAGTGAAACGCTGTCTCAAAAAAAAAAAAAAAAAAAGTTAAAAACCCCAGGTTTCTCCCCACTGTATTAAAACTGGAAAATTGGCCGGGCATCGTGGCTCAAGCCTGTACTCTGAGCACTTTGGGAGGCCGAGGCGGGTGGATCATGAGGTCAAGAGATTGAGACCATCCTGGTCAACATAGTGAAACCCTGTGTCTACTAAAAATACAAAAAATTAGCTGGGCACAGTGGCGCGTGCCTGTAATCCCAGCTACTCAGGAGGCTGAGGCAGGAGAATTGCCTGAACCCAGGAGGCAGAGGTTGTGGTGAGCCGAGATGGCGCCATTGCACTCCAGCCTGGGTAACAAGAGTGAAACTCCGTCTCAAAAAAAAAAAACAACTGGGAAATGACTGTGCCCACAGGCTTGGATTGACTTGAGGAATTTGCTAGTGGGTTCCCGGGAGGTGTAGGGGAGCAGGGAGGAGGAGGTGGTTACTCACCTTCCCTTACTGACATCATCCATCACTGGGCACACAAAGGGACTGTGGAAGATGAGGTTAAAAGTTTCCTGCAGTGGATTCCCAGCAGGAGGTCTTGTGTGTTTGTTCCACCCTGGTGCGGATTTAAATCGGTTCAGCTTGAGATAAGATATGTAAATCAGACCACGGCTGGCAGTCTGACCAGGTGTCGTAAATACCAGTGCTAAAGGAACATGCTCTAAGCCAGCTTTCTTTTCACTGGGAGCATGGATGAAAAATTCAGCTAAGAATTTTGAGTTTCTTGTGGGGGATGAAGTTGGGAGAGCACTGTAGACTCCTGTAAAACAGTAAGGAGTAATCATCCCTTCCTAGGAGAAGTAGTACATTTATCTCACTAACGTAGCACATACTGGGGCTGGGTAATATTTACTAAGCAAATAAAGACAGCACGCAAACTGGTTTCACAAAAGAAGAATAGCTTCAGCTGGAATTTCCTCCCGTCCTTAAATAATTTGCTCAGGAATCCAGAAATGTAAGACACATACCAGCTGTCCATTTTTCAAAAGTGAGCCGAGTGAAAATGTGCAGCGTCTGACTTCACGAAACGTTTCTTCATTCAATTTTTATTATTCTCCGAGACCTCGGAGACGGATGCCAATTTGCAAACATCGGCTCAGCGAGCACTGCCCCCAGCTAGACTCTGCTCTTGATGGCCCCCCTTGGCTTCCTTCTGGGTCATTCCTTTTGTTGTTAAGACCCACTCAGATGTCTAGTCAAGAGTGTTTTCAGGTGAGATTTTACTTTAGGAAAATCTGGCTTTTGTACGGTTTTCGGTGGTGGTGAAACTGGCTGTAGAAAACTTCTTCCCTCTGGGCCTGCTAACCCAGTCTCCCTAGGTAAGGCGACCTGGCGAACCTGTTTGCTTTGAATGTGGGCGAATCAATTACTTCCATGTGATGTGTGGCTGGGAGTAAATCACTGCTCCTATTAACAGCTGAAACTATTCACAACAGAGACAGTTTGAAATCAACCTTGTTTTTGTACATTATTTGGAAAGAGCTTTTCAAAACAAAAAAATCTAAGTGAGACCATTATTATTCTTCCAGGAAGTAGAATTACTAGCCTTTTAAAATCTGCGTGTAAGGTTCTCAGGTCTCACGTAAGGCATATCAGAAAGTGAAGGAAATCCCAATTCGGAGAAAAAGCAGAATCACAGGAAAAGGGTGGTAAACTGTGACCGCACTGACCTTCAGAAACTCCAGGACGAAACTGCCGCACTCCCAGCAGCTTCCACCTGCATCTTTCTGTGACCCTCAGTGCCGGGATATCGTCCTAGTTTGCTTAGTGAGAATTTTTGGAAGCATTCTCTTCTTTGCGAGGTTTTTCCCTTGAAATTGAGAAACAGTGCAAACTAGAGCAGAATCTTCATATCTATTTTACTGCAACCTCTGTGTCTCTGTGGAGGCCCATTTTGAAGATAAACTGTGGTCATGGATTACACTTGTAGGTGCATACACATTCATATTGACATGGATTACCTGTTAGTATCGGGAGGTGTTACTGGGTTAGCGTGTGTAATCTGTTTATTGGTGCCAACTTTCTAACATGTTATTTATGAAGCATGCTTTCTCCTGCTGTGTTTAAAGTCATTCCCCTCATCTGCCCATTTCCCCTGATTTAACCCCATAAACTGGATGAGATTAGTTTCTCCTAAGTTGGAAGGATTTGATCTGTAAAGATGATGGCGGGGAAAGGATGATAGCCACACCGATGTTAACGTGTTTGAAACTCTTCTGACATTCTTAAGCTTTTCTTTTAGATCCATTAGATCCAAGGTCTGTGTTTAGGGTGCTCTTTTCTCTTTTTTTTTTTTTTTTTTTTTAAATAAAATGGTTTTAGAGTTTTGGTTTTTGAGACGGTGTCACTCTGGCACCCAGGGTGGAGTGTAGCACTGGTGTGTGGTCTTGGCTTACGGCAACCTCCACCTCCCAGGTTCAAGCAATTCTCCCACCTCAGCCTCCCTAGTAGCTGGGATTACAGGCACACACCACCACACCCAGCTAATTTTTGTATTTTTTGGTAGAGACGGGGTTTCACCTTGTTGGCCAGGCTGGTCTCAAACTCCTGACCTCAAGTGATCCACCTGCCTCAGCCTCCCAAAGTGCTGGATTATTGGCGTAAGCCACCACATCTGGCTGGTATTAAAGTTTTTAAATACAAGTTTTGGTTAAGTAATGAATAGTGATTAAGTCTATATTTCGTGACAAGTATATAAAATGATGAGTGTGTGTGTAAGCTCTTTGCTGGGCACAGTGGCTCACACCTGTAGTCCAAACTCAGGAGGCTGAGGCAGGAGGATTTTTTGAGCCCAGGTGGTCCAGGCTGCCTGGGTGACATAGTGAGACCCCATCTCCAAAAAATAAAAATTAATTAAAAAAAGAACTTTGCCTACGAGGAGTTTATCATCTAATTGAGGAAAATAATGAACATGCAGAAAGCTGATGTGATCAATTGTATCTGAGTGGCAAAAATGGCACATAGAACAAGCGGTGGATGTTAGCAGCAGGCACAGAACGAGCCCGGAGAGGCCAATGCTGAGAGAGTCCCAAAGGCCTGGCCGGGTCTGGTAGAGTTTTTGAGCTAAGCTTTGAAGCCTGGGAGGAGGGCAGCAGGGAGGCAGCGGGAACGGGTTCCCACGTGAGTGGCTC